GGTTTAGGGGGAGATCCAGGGAACGTGGCAGCTGTAGAGCAATCCTTGTTAAATTAAGAGTAGGGGAGGAAGGGCCACATTTTCTAGATGTAGTACAGATGGAATTGGCTTCAACTTGTTTATAATCTGTTGCTGGTTTTAACAACCTGTTTCAAAGATTTTTGAAAGGAGGGAGGAAAAGGTTGGGATAGAGAGATGAGCAGGTTTTTCTCAGGAGGCAGTTGGAATGAAACATTTAAAGTTTGTCAGCAGAACACCACTTGCTATGTCACTCTTCAGTGATGGGTTCGAGGAGACTCTGAGCAGCTTTAGTAAGCCACATTCTGAGTGAGGAGGAATAATTCTTCTTACTGCAATCTAAAACAAAAATCCACCCTAGTGTAGATGGTAGCAAGCCCCACAGAATTACTATTAACAAACCGAATCTCTTGCTCTTGTATTTGAGATGTAAACGAACACATCCTGGATTTGCTTCCCAGTATGCCAGTACTGTCAAGCTACGTCCGCAGATTAGTGTGGGTCACACTGATGTTTGGGTCACACTGAAGCGGGACTGCCAACAGTCCAACTTGGTTTCTTTAGTTGTGCTACCTGTATTTAGATGCTGTCTAGAGAGGAGAAGCTATTCACTGGACATAAGACATTCTTGATAACAGCAGGCTAATATCTAAAAAATACAGTTTGTATTTTTCGAAATAAAATGATAATACACCCAAATCCAACCTCATCAAATAGAAACAAAGGGACGTTTTGGGGGTGGGGTGAGCCAAGTCTGTTTATACAGGTTTTCGAATGACTGTTCTTTTAAAAAGTGCATGGAATGCATCCAAAACAAATAATGTTTTGTTAGATGAGAAGACCAAAAGGGAAATCCTAGAGAAAGGAGGATGGATGATCTTTCTTTAATGTCAAAACTGACATAAACACATCCCCCTCCCCCTTTTGCTCAAGATAATTTTCTCAACAAGACCCAGATTGCTTCAGTCTTGCCTATCACCCTTTGAAGCACTTTCCTTATTATTAGGAGTGGGGGCAGGGTTTCCTTTGAGGATTTTTGCAGCAGTGAAGAGTTCCTCCTTTAAATACTTTCACATGATGAGGGAATTCCGCTTTCAAAGTGCTGTCATCCCTGTGGCTTCTCTGCCATGAGACAATTTATTCTTGGGTGAAGGTCCTTCTTAGTTTGATTGTCAATAAAGACTCACTTTTCTGATGGATTCTCCTTCAGCTTTTTCTGGGAGACCTAGAGAAAGAATTCAGTGTTCTCCTGTGTTATTAACCTTATGGAAGTTGGCCATGATCTTCTTGTGAAATGTCTTCTATCACACGGGTTTATTTATAGTCTTCAACATGGTTGGTTGTCCTTGTCAATCTCCACTAATTAAGATTTAGATGACATATCAAATATTTCATCTTGAAAACTGCATTTCTCCTACTGCACAGAGACACCCTGAATTTTGGGGAGTTTTGAAGAGGTATTTTTCTGTTCGGTTGGTTTTTTTATTTGTTTTGTTTTGTTTTACTGTCTCTAATGATATTTAAAGAACGCCATGGGAAACAACTAATAAACTATTCAAGTGTCAATGGCTTTCCCAGAAACATTGAAATCTTTTGAGAACCCTTACCTACTCCGTGTCACTATACCTCATCCTTGTCTACTCTTGAATGTAGTTTTCTGGAAAATTCTATACATATTTAATTCATGGAGACAAAATGTATAGCTGTGTGGCTCATTTGAAAGTGGTTCCCTCCCCTCCCCAAAATTTTTAATAGGCAATGATTCACAATTGTTAGCGAAGAATTAGAATGAAGAAACCCGGAATAGAACTGATAGTTTTCTGAATATTATTACCTAAGGTGAGCTTCTAAGTATTTGTGGTTATTTTACATAAATGAGTAAAAAATCATCCATGCCCCAAACTAGATTGCATTATTTATGTCATTACTCTTGAACTTTCTCTTTGAACAGTTTGGTTGTTGGTGAGAGAATCAGTATTGTTTAGTATTCATTCATTATCTGCTTCCACTTAGAAGCTCATGAGTGTAACAAGGTGGCTACTAACCAATCCAGACGTGGCACTAAACATATTTCTTAAAACCTGCAATTTCCTTCCTGTTTGAGTATTGAAACGAATGATGTCTTGGCCTTCTATTGAGGAAGAAAGTGGACCGTGAGAAGGGAGTTCTAAACTACAGTCAGAATACACAGATTCTAGCTTTGGCTCGGCCACTCACTGCCTGTGTAGTGTTGGCAAGTACCACATCTTTCTGCTCCCTCTCCCTCTCCTCCCCACAAAAAATCTCGTTAAGTTAGTGACCTAGATGATCTGCATGAATTTACCATCCTAAATAAAGAATAAGTTTACTCTACCTATAAAGAGAGGTTTATTATTTGAGTCAAGTTGGATTGAGTCAAGTTGGATTCTCCAATGAAAAAATAGCATTGCTAATTTCTTAACCTAGTCGGTAAAAAAGGGATGTTGATTAGATTTTCTTTCTCCTGTGGTAACTCAGTGATGTCCCATAAATATCCATCCCATTTTCTTGTTTGTGCGGACTCTGCCTTCGGAATTCTCACCACCTAGTCAGAGAAGAAAGCAAGAGAACAAATAAGTCAAAGATCCAGTTTGAGGGCGGCCTGGGTGGCTCAGTGGTTTAGAGCCGCATTCAGCCCAGGGCCTGATCCTGGAGACCCGGGATCGAGTCCCACGTCAGGCTCCCTGCATGGGGCCTGCTTCTCCCTCTGCCTGTGTCTCTGCCTCTGTCTCTCATGAATAAATAAATAAAATCTTTAAAAAAAATCCAGTATGATAAGTAGAACATGATAAGTATAGATAAGATGAAGAGGTAGCATGCACACACACACACACACACACACCTATCTTGAATTCTAGAAATAGGAAAATGTGTGCACGATGGAGGCAAGCTTTATGGTAAAAATAAAAAAAAACCCTCTTTATTTGTTTACTACTGAATCAAATACGTCCCTCCATCATATTAGTTGTCATATACTGCAATTGAATGAGTTATAATATGGGAGGTTAAAAATATAGAATGTTCTCTTTCTTTGCATAGCTAAATTATTTTTCAGTGTCTCCAGACATCACCTTTAAACCTCTCTTTCTGGGGATCCCTGGGTGGCTCAGCGGTTTGGCACTTCCCTTTGGCCCAGGGCACGATCCTGGAGTCCGGGGATCGAGTCCCACATCGGGCTCCCTGCATGGAGCCTGCTTCTCCCTCTGCCTGTGTCTCTGCCTCTCTCTGTCTGTCTCTCTCTCTGTGTGTCTATCATAAATAAATAAATAAATAAATAAATAAATAAATAAATAAATAAAATCTTTAAAAAAAATAAAATAAACCTCTCTTTCCTAGCTCTTTTGGCACTTCTGCCGTTGAGCAAAGAATACCTAAATGTGCCAAATAGTCATTATAGACCAAAAACTATAACCTAGAGTCTAGGTTATTCTCTTTAGAATCAGGAAGACAAAGAGAGGTAAGCTTTCTTAAGAATACTGGTGTGTCTTGGCATAATTTTTTTTTTTTTTGCGGAATGTGATCTTATACCTAGAAAGTTAAGGTTTTCCTGGTGATTTGCAACAATCTTGAACTCAAATCAAGGAATTGGAAAGTGTCTCAGCTCTGGGGGGTTAAATCCAGCACAGACTGTGAAAGCTATACTGCTGCATAGCAGGGGATGGGGGTTTGGGGGAGTTTCTTATAAAAACTTGGCCTGAGCTAATTTGTTTTGTTTGAAACTGGAAATCATATTGTTGAAGTCTGCATTCTGTTTTCTTTCAGTTGGTGTATTAACACAGAGCACAATGTTTTTAAAGGGCTTCCTCCTTTCTACAGGAATAAATTTGGCTTCTGAAAAAGAAAAAAGATTGTACCAGCAGTTCAGCAACATCACACCTCTTCCATCATTTTGGGCTTCAGCTCAGTAACTCCAGACAAATTTTGTGGAAATATGTAAAAACATGCCTAGAAGTACTGAGCGTAAAACCTGACTGTACACTCATAAACATTTGTGCAATCTTATGGTCCTTATCATTGAGTTTCTCAAAGCTATGTGCATATTTTAAAAATCATTAGAATAAATGAAAATGGGAACAAGATGCTATTTCAGAGAAGGTGCTCCCTAGAGATGCCTGAAGAATACTGCTCTATGACTTTCCTCTAGGAAGTGAGCAAGCTTCTTGCCCATAAAATGGATAGAAGCTGCTTTCCAGATACCCCTGTCTGGAGAAATTAGATTAAGATGGAAACTGCGGAATACTCATTTTTTAAAATATTTTAACCATACAAACTCAGGACTGAAAAAGCATGCATCCTGGAATAACTGAAAAGTTAGCAGCCAGAAGAATTGGAATAAAATAAATCTTTAAAAAATAAATAAATCTATTTTTAAAAGGGGGTGGGGGTGGGGAGGGGAGGGGTGGCTGGGTGGCTCAGTCACTTGAGTGCCTGAGTCCTGGTTTAGGTTCAGGTCCTTGGGGTCCAGGGATCAAGCCCTGTGTCGGGCTCCATGCTCAGTGGGGAATTGGCTTGAAGATTTCTCTCCCTCTGCCCCGACCCTCCTCCCGCTCACCCCCAGCCCCTCTCTCTTTAAAATAAATCTATCTTTTTTTAAAAAAAAAGGAACAATTGGGTTGAGTTTTGGAAAATGTCACACTGTAAGACTCATAATGAGTGCCCAGTGCCTCAGGATGAGAGACAAAACCAAGGGGCAAGAGAGGGCTTTATAAATCCAGGGGTGCTGTAGAAAACTACTAGATGGTCTAAGAAGGCTTCTTGAAACATAAACTCCCAATGCAACTGTAATCCAAATGTGAGGAAGTTATTCAGCTTCTGACTTTTTTTTTCAGGTTGAAGAAGTTCAGCATGATTCATATCCTAAAGGTTTTCATTCTTTGCTTAGTAATTCTTTAAATTTATATTCTAACCACAGGCTGTCTCTCTCTCTCTCCTCTCTGTCTTGTTCTCATGCTGCCCTGCCCCAGGTTGGCCTTCGTTCCACGATGTGATCAGTTCCGATGCAATCACATTCACGGACGACTTTTCCTATGGGATGCACAGGGTGGAAACAAGCTGCTCTCAGGTCAGTTAACCTCACCCCAAAACCCACTGTGCTGCTCACTCTGCACCACAAACACTTCCTGGGTTCCTGTTTGGCTAATATAGCAACGAGGGCCATGTGACTGTCACAAAAGGGACAGACGAGCGCAAGGAAGTCTCCGTAAAGTCTTAATGAGATCCCAGTTGTCAGGTGTTAAGTCCAAGAGAATGCCAGTCATTGGCTTCAACACTATTAAAAAAAAAAAAAAAAGATGGGTAGGAAAAATCACCTTCAGCTGACTGAGTACAGTGGGGAATGGGCTGTTCTTAGGACGTATGAAGTTTTCATTACGTGGCTTTATAGAATCTGATGTTTGGAGAGTCCCCCTCTCCCTGCAGTTCTGTGCCCCCGTTGTGCAGCTGTAATGCCCCTAATGGTAATGATCCAAAGATGGTCGGTCAAGACCCCAGAGACAGCTTTCCCTGTGTGGGTGAGGAGGGAGGTTGGAGAAAGGCAGTGGGAAGAGGAGGTTCAGTAGTGGGCCTTATGAGCTCAGAGTGAGAAAACGTGATAAGGCCATGCCATCTCTGCTTCTCCCAGTGCACAGACCTCTCTCAGTTTCCAAGGATGTTCCAGTTAGTTCCTATCACTCTGCTCTAACCGAATTAGGACTGGCTCTACAGGAGAAAATGAGCATGTGTTGAGGAGACAGAAAGAGTTAATCTGTCATCCCAATCAAGAAGACTTGAACTTGTGGGTATTTTTGTATTTAAACTCAGAGACATAGCCAGAACCTTCTGTGTACACAGAATTAGAGCAACTGCACGTTCCATTCTAGAGGAGGTAGTCCTGTTCTAATCTGCTGTAAATAAGTGAAATGTAGGGTCTGAGTATTGTGGCACTGAAATGTTGGTTGGGGATGTCTGTTGCGCATATCAGAGGCAAAGGGGGCACCATCCGGCAGCTGAAATAGCAAAGTGATTGCCACGTGGGCCTCCCGCAACATTCTTCTACTTGCCCTTTAACCCCCTTCATCAGGCACAAGACTTTTAGGGAGGAGGTGGCATATTTACTACCAAGTAGGGAGGGAGATTGGTTAGAACCTAACCATCTGATGAATTTGTGCTTTCCTTTTTTAAAAAAATAAAGCTGGCGAGTTTACTGTCTTCTAAGTATGAGGACCACTCTCTCCTTGAAAAGCAGACTTCATATTTTACCTAGGTCATATTTTCGGTCCACTCTTGTCTCTCACATACGAGTCTCTGAGTGAGATAGTGGAACTTCCCGATCCTGGGTCTCACCCCCAGAGATTTTCAGTGACTTGGCTTGTGTGAGGCCTGAACACCAGCGAGTTTTAAAAGCTGCCCTGGTTAAGGCTCTCAATAACCTTGTCAGGTAGACACTGCTATTCTTTCGTATTTTTCAGTTGAAAAAAGTAAAAATTAAAACACAAAGAAGACAATGACAACTTGTGTAAAGCTACACCAATTTAAGTGGCAGAGCTGGAACTCGAATTTGGGCATTGAGCTCCAGAGCTCTAGGGTGCTTAGCTAGTAGATCACCAAGAGTCATTAAAACAACAAAAAAATCCTGTCACCTCTAGCAGTTGGTTTAGTTCAATTCAGCTTTTCAATCAAAAAGCTTTGTTTCAGCTTTTAGAATCAATTCAGCAATTGAATTAATATTCAATTGAATATTAATCGAGATTTGTATAACTGCCACAAAAACTATGATTATCTCCCCCCGGAATCTAAAATATCCAACAAAAAAGTAACCGGGTAGGATGGTACTAGTAATGTATAACCTAGGTACATGGTACTTAACAAACCTCTTATAAGGCAACAGTTGTGTTTCGTTGTAAGCCGCCTTAGAGGCTGTTGCATGGCGCCTACTTTCCTTTTTATTCAGAATCCACTTTCAAACATTGAGTCCATTGAGAACCAAATAAAAAAGGGCCAGGAAAAGTGAGGCATAAGATAATGACTTTCCTTAACTCTCTGTTCGCTGATGTCTCTGTGACTGATTCTTTCAATTCACAGAGTAAACCTTGGTCCTTTCTCGGGGCCAACTGCAGAGATGATATTAGTAGCGGTCAAGAAAAGACCATTATGAAGGGGTTCTGTTGTGACCAAAGAGAAATGAACCCTATAAACTGCCCAAGTCAGGCAACATGATATAAGAGACACTAAGCTAAACCAAGAACAGCTCTCAACGCTTTGGCCAAAAGCATAGGTGACTGTTACTGTGCTCTGGGCCCTTTCTGAATAGTTGGGTGAAGAACTAACACTCACCTATCCCTTCTGGCTTTTTCCCCTGCCACCTTTATTAACTCAGATTTGGAAAGCGGATGGTGACTCTTTCTTAAATAAAAGTCTTAAATTTAAAGAGAAGAGGGAGGGAAACTTGTTCTATTAAGCCATGTCTAAAAATACATGCTCTGTGAAGTAAGTTTCACGGGGAAAATAATCGGGCTCCAGCAGTAAAGAAAGTCATGTTTGCTGGATTCTTCTCCCTGTGGGCAGAGTGGGGGATGTCCACGTCAACAGAGCAGGAATTGCTCACTAAAGTGTGCTAGGTATCGTTTGTTCTTTCTTTCTTTCTTTCTTTCTTTCTTCCTTCCTTTCTTTCTTTCTTTCTTCTTTCTCTTTTGTTCTGTGTTTCACCCACACATTCATTTTCCTTTTGTTCTACATTTTTCTTGAGTCTTTTTTTTCCATTTTCTCATTCATCCTTTTTTATCTCAACTTGGAAAAAAATAACTGACCAAATGCTCTCCCTACTAGAGTGACCACGTGTATTTCGTTTCCTGGTTTCTCATTCTTATTGCTACTTTTCGTGATCCATTTATCTTTTTTTTTTTAACCTTCTACTCTTTCAGTTTATGTGTCTCTTCCCCTACCCATAGTTTCTTCCATCATTTCGAGAGGAAGGGATAGTAGGAAAGAAACTTCATTCTGATCTGCTTCACTTCTTTCTAAAATTCTGATCACATTTTGAATTCACGTGGCGTGTCCTTTGTCCAGATTTAATTGCCACAATGTGGTTTGTCTGACGAAGAACCTGTTAGATGCGTTAGGGACCTCATAGACATTCTCAGTTGGACATGTTATGCCGAGTATTTCTTTCCTTATGGTAAAGATGCAGCATCTACACATGACGACCCTCGTCCTGCCACCTTATCCAAATGAGCTGAGCTTCCATGAACAAAACCAGTAGGCTCGAAGTACTTGCTTGGCTTTTTTTTTTTTTCTTCCCTGTCTGTCGGTTCCTAATTCTTGCTCCAGTATTTAGGATTCTTCTTTTTTCTCTTTCTTCTGTTTGCTTTAAATTGTGATGTAGGACATTCTATGCAGTGAGTTAGACCCCCTAGTTGGGTAGGAATTATAAACGTGCTGGGAGACATACTCTAACCCCTCCTTATACTACCCAGTAGTTCTTCCTTGTGTCCCGTGACTCCTTTAGTCACATATCTTAGTAAGATTTTGTTGAGAAAGTTAAAGATTGATTCAGTACTGTCGACACTCTTAAGACAAATAGTGCAGTCAGGTCCTTCTGAAAGAATTGCTGTGTAAGGAACCTCGCACACTACCTGATGCTAAGTCAACAACGCAGAAAACACGCGAGGGGGCTGGAGGGTCTTCAGTGCCTTCTGGTTCGATTCCTGCTCGCGGAGGAAATAGGTTGCCCCGTTCCATCCCGATTTTTGTTGCAACCATATCTGTTCGCTTTTACTGTTCGACCCGCTGAATTGAGGGCAGTTACCTCTTCAAGGATGAATTACATTCCCATCATCTCTTTCTTTACCTTCAATCTGCCCACCTTAGTGGGCACGTGTATCTTCTCCCCAGCTATGGCAATTTTCCACCGATTTGCAGTTAGAACTTTTTAAGATTTCATTCACACTTTTCAGCTAGTGATAAAATATACTGCATCTATCCTCATTTCACTACCTGCTATGAATAATCGTTTGACAGCGTCTCCCTAATCCTCCAGCCGAGCCTGGTAAGCAGTGCTCTGTCAGGAGTTACATTCAGTGCAACAAGGGAAGAGTTGCACGGTGTAAGCTGTAGTTCAGAGAAGTAAGCTCCTCCTGGTAATACTTGGGGAATTCCTCCTTCTTTAGATCAAAATTCTACATCTGCAGCAAATGGGAGACCAATAAATCACTTAACTTTTGGTAATCATCTTTAAGGAAACCATCAAATCCCTGGGTTTACCCAAGTTGGAGTCTATTTATGCAGGCCGCTCTTACTAGCTGGACTCTATGGTAGGGTCCCTTAAGTTTGTTTTAGGTCACTATTAATTTGTTCTTAGGCAACCAAATCAACAGAAAGGTAAATACCCACCAATACACGGTATCTTTCAAAAGTTAAGCAGTTTTTGGTAAAACCCCAAACCTTATTAATCTTTTGCAGATGACAACTCCTATATTGCTGATGATTAAAGATAGCCATGTGTTACAATAGGGTTTCAGACTCACAGCCCATCTCTCTTTTTCTTGATCTTTCAGTAAAATCATAATGCTAAACTGGTGACTTCACAATCATTTCCTTGGCAAAAGATTAATATCACAAGCACAGAGGAAAGAGCCCTACTTACACACAAGTGTCTTCAATAACGGTGGGAGAAAACAGGATACTACTGGCAAAGTAAATTGCTTTTCTTCTTAAACTCTTTTCTCCTTCTCATCCTGCCCCATGTGCCCAAGTGTAAAAGCCATGCTTTGAAACTGCTTCATCTTGTAGATCAAACACTTAAGAGAAAATGACAATAATAAAGCCCAAAACATCCTAGAAATAGCTGGGAGAAAACCCTCTAGGACAGTTGGAAATACATCAGTGCGGAAATATGTAACTGTGTTGAATGCACTATTTGTGTTTCTCATGCACACGATTGAGAATTGCAGTCAGATTTTAAGGAATTATGTTAAATTTGATGTTCAATCACTTTTTGGGGGAGGGGGGCGTCTTTTCCCTTGGTTCTCAGCAGGTTCTTTAGTTGCCAACTTTTCTGAGTGGGAGGCTTAGGTGATAAAGTTCCTCTGGGAACTTTAAAATTTTCTTTTGAACAATTATCTCGTGCTCTTTCAGAATGAGGGCTAGAACATTCGGTTGTAGTGTGCATCTTACCCATAAAATAAATGGCATAACTGTTTTAAAACAACCTTCAAAATGCACACTAAAGATTTTACCCTGAAATAAATCATTAACAGCAGGTTTCAGAGATTTCTTCGTCGGGCAGCCAGTTTGTTTCAGTTACAACCAGGTGTGCTGAGATCCCAACACATTGCCAGTTGGCTGGGGCCAGGGAGGCAAGAGCTCGCAGGCGGCTAAAGAAACAATGCATCACTGACAACTTCCATTCATCATCCCAGCCTTCGGCCAGGGGTAGAAGCTGGAAAGAATGGGCTCCATGTGCGTTCCCCTCCGGGAGGAACCTTCAGGGCTTATGCACTTTTCAAAGAAACCCGGTAATAGTCTTTTATGGAAGACTGGGTGTACCTGGGAAGGAGCAGAAATGGTGCTGTGTGGTTAGGCTTCCTGCAGACAAATGGCTTCGCAGCTTTGCAGGCGGTGGAGTGGGCATGCATGTGGTGGCCCAGATATACATGAACACCTGGCTGTGTTTTGAAATGTGGCTCCTCCCTCGGTTGTCTGAGCCCGGTGTGAATCCTCCAGAACACCGTGGGCAAGCCTGATGAAGCTATCACTATCATTCGTAGGGGACTCACACCTTTCCTGAGGCTTTCCCCACCCCTACCATCCCCAACCCATAGAGCTGTTTGCCAACTATTTTTGTTGCTTCATTCCAAGTTCTCTTCCTCATCCCCCTGCCTTTTCCTTTTGGATTAGGGGCATCTAGAATCTGTGTTTTTCTTTCTGTGTAAGCAAAACACCCAGTCCCAGATTTAGCAAGTGAAACTGCAGACCAATAGCCAACTCAGTGCAACAGATTGAATTCCCCTAAGTTGGATTTGTTAAAGATGATTGGGGAAATGAAGACATATAAAATAGTCCCAAAGAGCTTCAAGCATATCCTTGCTGTGTCTTCTTTTTGGAGTAAGGTAAATAGCACTGTTTTCTAAATATGTCCAAGAGATGATGAATAAAGGTAACGTTAGTTGTTTTGCCCAGATAGCTGTTTTCGGTCATTAAAAAACAAAAACAGAAAACCTGTCTGAGGCCTTTATGTGAAAAATCCACCTCTCAGATGCCAAGTGATCAAAGTGCCAGAGCTGCATGTGAGATCAATAACGGTGCACACATACTGGTCACCGAGAGCATGAGTTCCTGTTGGCCTGCACACTGACTGTTTTGGCAGGCAGAAATAGGTGTTTTCCTGTGTCTACTGGGTAAGCATATGTATTTTTACTGGTGCATCTTAGCTGCTGATGCCTGAAAATTTGGCATCAATTGTTTATAGAAAGGAAAAGCAATCTGAGCTGTCAGCCTTGATATTACCTAAACCTGCATAGAATGTGGTAAAATAGTGCAAGATTTGTTTTTTAGGCCTGTTTCATATTTTCCAGGCAATAGATCAAATCAGTTCAGGGTTCATTTTTAGTTCTTTAATAAGCTGACACAGTATGTTGGCAGTAAAATAAGAATGCACTTTTAACATGGAAGTGCCATATAGTCAGAGTTGCTATTTGTGCTATTTATTAATAACTAGAGAACCCCTGAGAATTGAGCGTAGCACTTTGGATAGGGTAACTGAGATTCTAGTTCTTTCCATTGTAATGAGCACCGTCCTTCACTTCTCTCTCATCATCTCCATTTGGTTCATTAGCCCAATTCCCATGTCAATTCCTACTCTCTTTCCCTGTAAATTCTAAGGGTTTTGTATACCAACCGAGCACAGTGAGAAGAATTAATAAATCAGCTACAGGCCTTTTCTCTCACAGCCTTCCCTAAATCTTGACTCTTCCATCTACTCCAAATGCTCCTCTGATATCCACTCCTTTGCCTACTCACTTCCTTTGGCTTCTTATTCCAGAGTCACCCCAGAAGAATAGCCCCTCACCCTCATACCTGCAATATCAGCCCCCACCCCTGACACTTCATATCACTGCCTCTTTTCCCCCTCTCCTTGGCATTTATTCTCACCTATCATACTTGATAGTTGATATTTCTTTGTGTATTATCTCTCTCTCCCACTAGAATGTCAGCAGCTTGAGTCCAGGGGTTGTTGCCTGTGTCTGCAGAGTCTGAGACACTGCCTGGCTCTGAAAATACTTCAATGAATGAATGGAAGTCGTTTGCCCCAGGCTTCAGTTTCCTTGTTGCATGACGATTGATGTGTTTTCACAGCCCTTTTGAATATGATGCACTATTGTCTCCTTATCCCTCACTCCTGTCCCTGCTCAGAAAAGGTACAAGAGGGGCACCAAGTGGCTGAGTGCCACCAAGTGGTTGAGCATCTCCCTTCGGCTGAGGGTATGATCCTGGTGTCCTGGGTTCAAGTCCCGCATCGGGCTCCCCACAGAAAGCCTGCTTCTCCCTCTGCCTGTGTCTCTGCCTCTATCTCTGTGTCTCTCATGGATAAATAAATAAAAATCTAGAAAGAAGAAAGAAAAGAAAGAAAGAAACAAAGAAAAGAAAGAAAGAAAGAAAAGAAAAAGAAAGGGTGCAAGATAGTTAAGTGTGACATATAGGGTTGTCACCAGAGTCGTACCCAGCGTCGGAGTGGCTAGTGCAGGGCATTGTGCACCGAGCCAGCCTTTCTGGAGAAACCCTCTCTGGGCTGGATCTCTCTCTAACCTGTCACAGCCACCCAGCCCTCCTTCTGTCCTGCTGCTTCTGTCTGGGTGCTGGGCCTCCTCTCCTTCCCCGAGCTTCATGGATAGTCGGCAGCACGGATTCGAGCTCCTTCCTTGCCCCCATAACACGGGGCCCGTGGGTGGAGAAGCCAGGGCACTCCACCTCCTGGGAGTTGGAGTAAAGCGACCGTGTGGGCTCTGACATTCTATTTGCCTCGCTTGCCGGCCCGGTGACCGCATGGCACACATCTGTTGAGCCTTGCCGTGGCCTTGCTGGGTTCCAAGGACGTCAGCACTTGTCTGATGTGAAGTTTACTGCCCATGCAAGCAAATGTCCCCTCTGTCCAGCCAGCTGCTCAGTGTCTTCTGCAGGGGACTTCTGCATCTCTGAAGCCCACCCATCCAAAGCCAAGAGTAACGCCAGGGATGGGTGGAGGTGGGTGGGGGAGACTTTATTCCACGTGTTCCTCACAAGGGGGGGAGGAATCCATAAAATTCATCCCATTTGCTCAGCTGCTCAATTCATAAAGCCACAGCAGGCATCATTCAAGGGGCCGAGAGACCGCACGGTCACCAAATACAGTGGCTCCTACCCGCTGTCGGCTGTGCCCGGTGCCTGGTGTCCCACTCCTGGCCTGCGATGCGGGCCACCCCGGAGCCACCCCTGTGCTGCCACCGGCCGGGCCACCTGTGGTCCCGCTGCTCTGCAGGCTGGGATCCGTCTACACCACCGAGCGCGGGCCCCCTGCAAAACCTGCGGTGTCCACGCTGTCCCCTTGACCGTGTCGCTCTTCTCTTTGCAGTGCGGGGCTCACCTCGGGCACATTTTCGACGATGGCCCTCGTCCCACCGGCAAAAGATACTGCATCAACTCAGCGTCCCTGGCGTTCACACCCGCGGGCGGCGGCGCCCAGGGGAGCAGCGGGCCGGGTGGCCCGGCCGCGGAGGGCAGAGCCGAGCTGTAGGCCCGGAGCCCTGGCCCAGGGTCCTCGTGGCGCAGCTGGGTCCAAAGAAAAATCAGAAAACAACTAAACCAAAAAACAAAACAAAAAAAAAAAAAAGAAAAAAAGAAACAAAACCCCAACAACTCAGAATTGTCTTAGATATATTTTTTCAAGAACTCTAAGGGCAGTTTTGTGCTTTAGATCTTTTTCTTCTTTTTGCTTAGACAGAGGCCTCAGGCGGCCGTGCACTTGGCCACCAGCTAGACCCAGATGGTTTGTGGCCTCAGTGGTGGCCGTGGTCTGGGGACCCTCTTTCCCAAGCCACTGGAGTGCCACTTGGCCTGATTTTCTCTGAGCATGCAGTTTCTTTGGGGATCCCTCCCCCCGCACCCCCCCTTGCTTCAGAGGCAGAAGGTGCTGGGCTCGGGATCCCCTGGGGTGGGAGTGGTGGTGGCAGCCCAGCACCCAGGGCAGGGCACCCAGACCTGCGAGACACGATGCCCGAGGCCCCCGCGCAGGCCTACCTGAGACAGGGGCGGACTCACGTCTTCCGAGACTTCTCAGCTTTGTGGAAAGTTTGAGCTAAGGTCGTTTATTCTCACTAAAAGGGTGTGAAGGTCTAAAGTCTTTCCTTATGTTAAATTGTTGCCAGATCTGTGGGTCGGAGTGGGGGTGCAGGGGTTGGGGGGGTGCGGTGCACTGAGTGTTGTGGTGGAGAGAAGTAAACATTACCTCACGGGTAGGCCTTTATTTTATTTTATTTTATTTTCCATCGAGAACATTGGAATGTAGGACAACTGTAAAACGCTGAGCCCAGTTTTTGTCCCAAGTCCACAAAGAACAGCACCTGCCATTGCCTTTTGTAAGTCAGTCCCTCCGCACCTACTGCCAGCTGCAGCCGGGAGGGCGTTTTGGTAAATCCCACTGTGTAAAAAGAAAACGTTGGGGACAGCACACCTCATCAAGGCAGCAGAAATAAGAGAGCGTGGAGAGGTCCAAGGAGGAGGTCCTGGGTAGGAGAATACCCAGTGCTGAGCAGAAAAGCCCACAAGATACTACCAGTAATGACAGACGCAGCCCGAAGCGGGGGACCTGGGGGTATAGAGGTTCGGGTGAGCTCCGGGAGGATGCTAGGGGTTAAATGGAAAGACCCAGGAGCTCAAGTCCCCCCCCTGCTGTGTGACAAGGGCCAAGCCATTGAGCCTCTCCATGCCTCCTCTTCATATATAAACTGGGACTTGCATTATTTATAAAATAATTGACACTCTCAGGGCAAAATTACTATATTGCTGTACAATTAAGATTTGTGTCGTAATATTAAACCGATCTGGTTCTAATTGCCTCAGAGGCTGAAGCCCAAGCATTTGAAATGGAAAGAAGCAGAGAGAAGGTTGACTTAGCTGATTGGTATGGAAACAGTTGGGCCACGAGCCAGAAATTTTTCTTTGTAGCAATATGGCTGGTTTTACTCTGAGGAGCTCCCGCTTAGTTGCTGTGTAACATTTGGCCCCGTGGAACGGCTGTCACTGTGCACAATAAGGTTTCCACAGGTAGGACCTGCGGTGATTTAAGATGATATCGCCAGAGCTGGGTTTGAGGGTACGGTTTATGATTGATAGATATGGTGTTTGAGGCCTTGAATGCTAATCCTGAAAGGCAGTTTTTAAAAAATATTGAAAATCTTTGAAAGCTTATGAAAACTGACATCTTTCCTTGTAAGCACCAAGACAAAAATAAGAAAGAGGGACACTTGACAATGAGAAACAACGAGAAGTTAAAATGAAAAGTCACAAATCAAAGTGGCAGTGTGGTCACGTCCACATCCTTCCATGCGTCTACACGTACTTCTGGTGAGGCCCTGATAATCCAGTGACTTCACTGTCATGAATGCTCTCGCCTCACAATGCCGGGTAAGTCATGCTCCTCATTTCTCAGCTCCCAAGCCTTGCACCTCAGGCCCCGGGGGGTCCCTCTGGAGTTGAGATGTAAGACCATTGAGGCCTCGGCACGCGGACCAGGCTAGCAACCCATGCTGACCTCACAGAGGGAACCCCATCATTTCCCAGAGACCCAAGGATCCTGTGTGGGATCCGCTAACGAAGGAAGTCTCCAGAGACTTCCCTGACACAGCATATGTACATCCGTCCTTTGGGCCACACAGCACTTCTCACATTGCTCCAGCTACTACCCCGGGGTGTCCTGGACAGGAGCCACCATGTTGGGGTAGACAAGGAAGATGAATGAGGGGCTCCTTCCCTCTCCCCAGAGATTCCAGACTCTCATTGTTCTCTCGTTTTTATTATAGGGCTTAACATTTCCCTCAAAAAAAAAAAAAACAAAAACAAAACAAAACAAAACAAAAACCAAAAAACTTCATTTCTAATCCTTTGTCTTTGTTTCAAGGAAAGCCAGTTTTTCCTCCTACCACATTTTCCGGCATCAGCTTTAAGAAAAATGCAACATCCATTGAAAAAAAAAAAAAAAAAGCAGGGTATATGCATGTGGTTTAATTCCAGATTGCTTTTGAGTTTAAGTGGTATCAACTTTCAGTATATTTCTGTCTTATGTTAAAGAAATATATTACTAAAACATTGGTGAGCAATAATGTCAGCTGTCGAGCACTAGATTTATTTTTGCAGGATATGGAGCGCAATGAACTGCGTCAATATGGCAAGGTGTATGTGATCTGTGGGAGTTGTGCCATTTAACATAGGAAATGCACGGGACTTTCCCTCTGCACTCAGCCCTTACTGTACCATTAGGAGATACAGGTTTCTGCTGGTGTGTAAAACGTCCATCCGTATAGTCATACCGAATGGATCTGAAGAGAGCAGCAGTATATATTCTATTAGAGAACATTTCTATATGTTTAAACTTCTCACTTCTTAGATGCATTAAAATACTTAAGGCAAATGACATAACAATTTAAAAGCTTCTCCGTGTTCATTGAATTGAAATGCCTTGCTTTGAATGTGGAATATTACGATTATGAAAGGGATTATCGTTTGTTCTGAAGGTCAACTATTTTTGTCTTTAGATAGCTTTGTAACACTTTTTCTCCAGACAACTCGGAACTTTTGAAAAATGTCATGAGATTTTCATTAAAAGGACCCTTTTCCTATGTTTATTGTATACAGAAATTATGCAATAAAATTTCTTTATAAAAAATGTCTTCTTCTCTGATTCCTAGAGACTCCTGTTATTTTTAGCACAGATCCATGGACACCCATTGGAGTTTGCCATAGATTGCTCTGCTGACCGCCTCCCAGCTGATGTGTGTGTGGTTTGTATAGAGGGCCTTTTATCCGATGTGGCCTTTGCACGGAGGGGCTCTCATCATGGGGTCAAGTCTGAGGAAAGGCCCCCAGACCCCAGGAGAGGCCTCCAGGGATCTGAAAGATTGGAGGAATTACTTAACCTTCACCTCAACACAATCTTCAGCAGCTTGTGTACATTTGGGGGCTTCGAATATGGACTTTGGGGAGTTCCAGCATGATAACTCTGTGGATAAAAATGTAGGAATGATACCACACTGATTCCTTTGGCTTCGGTTAAATAATTTGCCAGGCAACTTCTACTGTGGTCAAGGGGTGGTCTCTAGGGAAGTACCTCAGGGGTTCCCTGCTGCTCACAGATGAAATCACCTTTAAAAGTCATCTGCACTGAAGAGTTTCAGTATAGTATTATTTGTTGTTGAAATCTTTCGTTTAAATGGTTCGGTTTGTTTTGTCGCTTTGTTTCTTTTGTGGAGGAAAAGTGAGGTGGTGAGGTGGTGAAGACTTTGCTTTTCAGCCAGTTCTTTAACCCATATTCCCAGGATCCTAAAACTCCCAGGCCAACAATGTCTCATAGTGTACCTTAGAACGGTGCTTCTCAAAGTGTGGTCCCCAGGGATCCCTTGGTGTCTCAGCGTTTAAGCACCTGCCTTCAGCTCAGGGGGTGATCTTGGAGACCCAGGATCAAATCCCACATCAGGCTCATTGCATGGAGCCTGCTTCTCCCTCTGCCTGTGTCTCTGCCTCTCTCTCTCTCTCTCTCTCCTCTCATGAATAAATAAATAAAAACTTAAAAAAAAAGTGTGGTCCCCAGACGGAAGCATCAGTAGCACCCAGGAACTTGCAACAAATACAGATTTTCAGTTCTCTTCCCAGACTCACTGCATAGAAATTCTGGGGTGGAGCCTTACAATTTATGTTTTAGCAAGCCCCCCCCAAAAAAAATCCCCCATGGGATTATGGTGCTTGTTCTAATTTGAGAACCATTGCCTTGGAACTTTTAGTGAGAAAAAGTCAATTAGTATTAATTTTAAAAACATTTTTTTATGACTCAAAAATCCCTTGTTTTGTCACCAGTGGTTGTCTTTCTGTAGAGATGGATCACATGGTTTTCCCAAGGCCTCATGCCTTTCAGCTCTTCTTATCCTTCGCTGCCCATTTGTCTTGTTCTGGAGCACTAGCGTATCCTCATCAACCAGCACCATCTTAACTCCAGTTTGCATTGCTGGGTTGAACCCAGGCTGCTCAGGGGTGCTTCCCAGATCCTCTCTAGAACTACAGGATATCCATGGCGGGGCTCAGCTCAGCAAATCTAAGAGTGAGAGAACAGATCTCAGTGCATAAATTGACATATGACCTTTCCCATCTCTTCCATTTCTTTGTACCTATACCTCATCAGCATCAACATGGGTTCTTCTTTTTTAACCATCATGGGATTTTAACAAAGGGGCATGTATTCAAATTGTGACTTTATTTGGTCAGAAAACTGCTGTCATTATTGGGATCTTAACAAAGCAATGAATTTTAAGAGATGTTGGCATAGGGGAAAGGTCGAATTAAAACTTGTCCTTGGGGACAAGTTTATAAGTGCCTGTACTGACTTCTAATTAAAGTTTATTGTGCACCACAGAAATGGTAGAAATGTTACCCTTTTGAAGTGGGACCTGAAAAAGTGCCACGTGCCACCAAAGAATATTCTAGCGAGGACCCTTCCCATCCACTTGCTCCCAGAGGCTGGCCTCATCCTCCACCATTGGCCAGACGATGATTGGAGGTTCTAGAGCAAGCAGCTCTTGACAATCTGCCATGAGAGTCATAGGCTTTCACAGAACCATTGCATGTTAAGGCCAGGATGACCTGACATCTGG